CCCTGCGCGCGCGGTGTGACCAGGGTGTACAACTCACGTACGCGAATGCGCGAGCTGGCTCACCAGTGCAGCAAGGGCAATTTCAACCGGATCCCTTTGATCGAGGGAGTGCTGTGCGTTTGAGTCTGACCCATGGGGCTACGTAGAATACTGAGGTTCTTCTCCTTCTCCCCACGCTTATCGCGCTCGCTAGTGTGGTCCGTTCCTCGACGGGATGTCACTGAGCACTGTTCGCTTTTGCGAACCTTCATGACGGGCCGACCTAGGAATACCAAGTTACAAGTTACATCAAACTTTATTGACGACACGTGGTGTCATATTGGCTTGGTAGCATGGTAGGGTCAATAAGCGGTGCTCAGCGCTGTACAGGTCACCATCATAAATACCTGTAAATTCTTATGAAAAATTTGGCTCACTTGGCCCATTTTTTAACGTCAGAAGAAACTACAGATCTCACCAGCGTGATACCTATTAGCTAATAGGAGCTAGTGCAAGGGACTAGCAAAAGAGTGCCTCTCTCGAGCCGAACAGCCCCCCCCCCCAAGGCTATTCGTAGAGGTCATGTAATACATCGCTGAACAGCTGTATATAATAAATAGTTATTTAGGGTTTATTACTTCCACAGGAACTGAGTCTTGTAGGAAATTCATCTACTCCTCGTTTGTTTCTAAATGGGATCCTACATGGGCGCATTAGTTTCAATCCATTGTTCTCCCGTTATGGATTTTTACGTCTGTAAATCTGATCTGATTCTACCGGCGATAGTGTTCGGACCGTGTTTAGATCCGAAGGAGTTAATTTCCTGAAATCTTCAAAATCTAAATGGGTTGAGAACGAGCGAGCGTCGCTTTTACGGAGCTTGTGTACTCCTCTAGTAACCGTACGAATTGCACTTTCAGGCTGATCCTCTCTTGACCCAGAATAATTGTTGCTAAGACTCCCTGCGTTGTCCTGTTGCGCCCAAAAGGAGTGGTCCGAAGACGTTTATCGTAAATGGCACCGGGCTTGTGCAGTCTACGTTGAACGTGTGGGCGGAGTCAGGCCTGCCAATGTGCGTTCGTCATCGATGAACTTCTCATAGTAGGGCACTGAAAATTAGATTAGTTAAGACAACAAGGGAAGCACAATAGTTTCCTGTCCCATAATACTAGACCGTCATCTCATTGGTGTTTGAGGCACAACGTTTTTTGCGAAGGCGCGAGGGGGGGGGGTGGAGATCCTGGGCCTGAATCTTCGGGGGAGCAGTCAAAAGCTTTAGGAAACGGGACCGGCTTAAGCCGCTGGATACATCGAAAGTGGAGTCTTATGGTTAGAAGTTCGAGCTAGAAGGCACAGCTACAAATGCAGCTTTTTACATTAATACCGCAAAGTTCAAGAATTCGTAAGCGATTAAACTAGGATCCCTCTTGGTTACTTATTACTACGAGTATGCAAGTGCTGGAACTCCCTTAGACGTCTACGGGTGCGCAATCATGGGAGAATCTCAGTTGGTTCGAAAACTTTTTTCACTCGGCCTGGCTCGGCTTTCTCTTTCCGTTCATGAGCGAGCCACTCCCCTCAATAGACGTCGATTATCTCTATTCGCGCGGGACAGTAAGAGTCTCTCGTGCAAGGGATCGGGGCGGGAGGAAGGGTGGGGGGGCTCGCTTAGAGACGCGTCTTTCCTTTCCCCGAGATTTGGGCCCGCGGGCAGGGCGCCCAAAAAAAAGTTTATCCCCTGGCCCTAACCTCGTTAAACAGCAAGGGTAATTGTGAATACAAGCAGTCGGGATTGAATTGTCCGCGCGCTCATTCACGCCAGCGCAAATATATCTGCCGGTGAATCTCACTGGATAAATGAAAGTGTATCTTGAAGCTTCACGCGGGCGCCCGACGACACGATTTCATCACGGTGGCACCGTGTGGAGAATGGTACATCCCCCCCCCCCTCTATGTACCCGCCACCACCACAGGCAGTGGCGTCTCGAGGGGCAGTACTCTGAGGGAGGAGCTTCCATCTGCAGACGGAGCGTGAGGCCGTTTCTCCTGTCCCGGGCTCAGCTCGTCGTCTGGGTTGGATACACAACTTGTTTCTTTGGCTTGGTTCAAATTTTCCATGGTTTCTAATGAAGTGAAGGTGGTGTGGTAGTAATCGACTCCACTTTATGACGCGCGTAGTCTCCGGATCAACCCTCAGGTCGGCTCTTTCCTTGTCTATTCCTTTCGCTTCGCCAGTGTCGGTTATTCCGTACTAGACTAGGTTGGGAAGCGGAGACACTGGCGTGAGAATCGATTCCTTCCTACAACTCATACTGTAGGTTACTATGATTCCCTATAAAAGCGCAACGTCTGGCGTATCACCCATAGAAACTGGAGGCTTCATGCTAGATTGGTCAATAGTTTCTGATGTGGAACGTTTGATTGTAGCGCGTCGTAGCGGGCTAAGCGCTGATCGGCCGATCCAGGACGGTACGGATATTGCCGTTGATCGTGATGTCGAGATCGGCTATGGCTAATGGCTAGCGAGAAAAATCGGGTTAATAAGCTGGCTAAAGATCCAGTATTCCAGGTGCGATTCGGCGTGTACGCGTGTCGTCGGGCGGCACTCCGTGGCCGGTGCGCTGTCTCTGTCGTCCCCAGCAGCCACCGATTTCCTTCCACGACTCGTACCTGACTGTCGAAAGCCGCCCCCTTTGCCGACGACTCGAAAAGGATCGTTCATATCCGCATCCATACGCAGCAGCACATCCAACATCATGGAACCGCTTCATGAATACGAAAATGTTGAGGATTATCCGCGAAAGAGGATCAAGGCCGTGGTTAGTTTACTAGTTGCATAGTTTGTCATTATTTTACTGTTGCATCAACAAAACTTCATATTTTCATATTTTTCTGCTGGAACTTTGCCCCTAAGTGTTCCACTGGTGTGATTGCAAACAAACAGAAAGGGATGCGGTATTGAGCCCCGCAAGGATTTTGGCCCCTTCTGTTGACACGTGTGCAGGGGCTGTAATCGAGTAACGAGCATAGGAGCAGTGCCAGATGAGAGAGCAGGCATGAGCGCTGCTGTGTAAGGGCAGGCCGCTCGCCTCGAAGCGATGACGAAGTACGGGTTTCGAGTCCATCTCGGGGAAGCAACTTATTGGCCATGTACTGCACTCAGCATCTCTTCAAGCACGCCATCGCGCTGTGATCATTTTCCTAAAAATACAGCCCCCCCGTAATATACCCACTGCCAATACGCCCCCCCCTTCTCATGCTACCTAACCACCTCTTTAAGATGTTCCCCAACTGTCCTACCACTTTTTTCCATGCGTTTCCCGAAAAATTTCCACTTTTCAACAAAAATTCTTTCAGTCGAGGGGGGTGTACGCACTGCGAAGCAGCCAGATTTTCCTCAGATCTTTTCTCAGCCATCCTAAAACTCTCTAACCAGTGTTTTCGCAGCGAATTCCGTTTTGATTTGGTTGTTTTTCCCCCCGACAGAAATTTGCTGTCGAGCGGGAGGGGGGGGGGGCGGGGGAGGAGTCGCCAGTCGTAACTATCATTATTCACTAACATCGAAGCAATAGTTAGTTGTATACGATCTTTGGCAGTCCTTCTCACAAGGGCCCGAAAACGGAGCTCCCCTGTCCACCCTCACGCCGCGGTCAACCTACGACCTGCCAGTTGTAACTATTCGAAAGTATTCAAGTACATCTGAAAATTAGCTGAAAACTGTGCAACGATTCGCGTGATTTTTTTTCCAATACGTCTTCGTACTTGTATTCGTAACGGAGGGTCTTGAATAGCCTTGGGGAAGATATTCCAGCATAAGCAAAAATTCAGAGATTTTCGGGTTGCTATTGCGAAACGTTCGCGATTTATTTGTAATTTTTTCCTTTTTAAATATCAATGTACGTTCCATTCCCTCTTGAAAGCCATGTTTCCATTTTCCATTCATTGTCGTAACTAATGGCGTCACGTCTGTAACATTTCATCACATGATATCATCTCACATTACAAACTAGATGTTCTTTGGGCGCAGTTCGGCCTAGAGGGGAGGCGTTTTGCACTTTTGCTACTTCTCTCAGTCGCAGCTTATAGAGATTAGTTGTCAAGTCTTTTGAAGAATACCTGTCAAGTCTTGTAAAGCGATGAACATAACAATGGGAAGTAGCGAAAAGCAGAATGGCGCACCCCCCCCCCCCGAGCCGAGCTGCGCCTTTCTTTGGTAGTTCTCTATTTTGGGCGATATTTGCCCGACTAGAAATTAAGATAAATATAAGGTTACGTTCCGCAAGGGCGAACTACGTTGCTGTTGGGGTGAGGGTATAGTTATAAGAAAAATTGGGCGCCAATAACCAGGGCACATCGTTGTTGAGGGATCCCCTACAGTGGGGTCCTACAGGGGAGTCATATTTGGTCGCCGGGAGAGGGGGAAGAAATTTAGTTTGGTAGTTGATTTTTCTCGCTTTACGGACGTTGTAAAAGGGGGTTGTAAGAGAGGGGGTAAGGCGGTCGTGCTTGCTCACTGCTGGGAGGGAGGGGGGGGGGGATCGTGTTTACTTTCTGGCCTTCTAGGAGTGGTGGGAGTGGTGGTTGACTTTTCGTAATTTTTTTGTTTCGTATGTACTATATACCCCCCGCCCCCCGCACGATGGCAAAGTTTCTGGGAAAAAGTGGGGAAATTTTCGAAATTTTCGAAATTTTGGAAAAATGGGGCAGGAAGTTGGGGAAAATCAGAATTGGTAGAGAGGAGGTCGTATTTCCCTCGCGGCTTTTCCCGTTTCACATGTGCTATTTACCCTCCTCCCCATCCCCCCTTCCCTCTCGTCTCCACGCTCCATTCGATGAGGAGGAACAGAGGGCCGAGGCCGGGGGCGTTATGTTGTACCAACTCCTAACAAAAACGCAGAGCGACGGAGCTCCTTCCAAAACACTGGGTCGATAGACACTTTCTTTTCGCCTAAAACGCTGACAACGCTCCACCATGAGAAGGATACGAGTGGGAAACTAGTAAAACAACAAACCGCGCGAATATGTTAGGTGTGTCAACACAACCACCTAACGGCGACGTGCGCGATCCTGTGGAGTA